GTGAGGTCCTACTGTCCTCGGCTGCCCGCCAACACGACTCGAGCCTAGTCGCTTTGGACAGCACTTCCTCGTACGCCTTGGCCGTGCTCGTCTCCTCCTTGATGAATCCAAACACCTGTAGTTCCTCCTTTAGACGTTGGTCCCGCACACTGCGCACAAACTTTGATAGTACTCTCTCCCGCCGAGCCTCGTCAGAGAGGTTCGGGAATGCAGTTCCAGCCAGCTGTTGTAGACGACTGAGGAAAGCTGCAGTCGTTTCTCTCCCTTCCTGGAACGATTCTTCGAAATCGTTAATGTAGGCCACCCTGGCCTTAGTGTGGCCATACCGTGACTCCAGCAGCTTCATGACTTCCTCATCATCCTAAAAGGACATCTTTGTTCTCGTCCTGGCTCAGCCACAATAGCGGTTCCCCCCGGAGCTGTTGCATAATCATTCGACCCCGGAACTCCTTATCCTCCGCCCATAGTTTGGCCTCTCCTGACACGTTCTTCAGCTTGTCGTTGAGAGCCTTTGTATTCCCGTATGCAGCGACGAACATTCTCCACTCGCTCAGTGTTGTGGATGCTCCAAACTCGTGCTTGAACTGCGCTGCCATCCTCTTCCTTGCGTTGAATCTAGCCGCTGCCACCAGTGAGACGGTTGTATTGTCCAGGATAACTCTGCCTTCATCAACAATCAGAAGCCCTCTAAATACCAGTACAGCAATACAGGTGCTAATGCACAATAGTGTAAAGTATGGATATGATTGTGTCAAGTGTCACGTAGGAGGTGTGTATAGCACACCGCTCACAGTGTGTACAAAAGGGCAGGGACGTAATCAACGCAAGCTGATGACTTGCGCTTACTAGGAATTAAAAGAACAACAAAATCAAAACGGAGTACAAGCAATACTCTGGCACGTATACCGGGCTATCGTAGCAGTAATTGCAGACCTGTTCGCATGCAGAAAGGCGTTGCGGGGATGGCGAACATTTCAAAAGGCTAGATCCTATTGCTTTTCATTTTCCACACTTCTTGCTCCTCGTTGCCTTTGTCCGACTCTGTCAATTGCTGAACTAAAATATAGCTACGGCGAGCAGTGAGCGCAGTGTTTTTCTTCCCATTGCGCCTGATGGACGAAAAATTAAAAAATATTTATATATTTATTACATCTCAAGACTCGGTGGAAACACCGGCCAATGTGAAGAGAGTGGGTGATTGCCAACCACGGCGATAAATAAAAGTAAGGGGAGGGAAAAAGAAGGACTAGCAAAATGAACAGCAACAACAACTCCGTAAAGAAAGATAATGCAAGTAAAAACATTGAAAAACACAGAGACGCAAAGGAGATGTGGATAATGAGCTATTTATGTCGTAGTAAATATGGGGCTGCACGGATCTTAAACAGGCGGAGTGAGGTCAGATCCTTAACTTCTCTGGGTAGAGTGAGCCAAACAGAATAAGCAATAAAGAGAGGGGAGCGCAAAAGAGTGGATGAGTTACACTTAGGGAGTAAGAGCGAGTTTCTAGTTCTTAGAGAAGAGAACCAATTAAAACACATGAGATGAGGTGGGCACAACTCAAGCATAATAGAATGGACAATAGAAGCCAGGTGTGCACTGCGTCCATGTGATAACGGGGTTGTGTGAGCGATTTTATAAAGGGCGGATGATGAGAGCATGCGGGGTTGACGGAGGAGAATTTTAAGGATTTTCTTGTGGTGTATTTCAAGCTTTGCAGCAGCGGAAGAGGATAATCCAACTCAAGACGTATCGGCATAATCAAATATTGGGCGAAGGTAGGCTAAATAAAAATGAAGCTTGCAAGAAAGTGGGAGATAGGAGCAGTGGGGGGAGAGAATTCTTAAGGATTTACTTGATTTTTTACAGATATATTCGATGTGGGGTACCCAAGAGAGTGCAGAGTCAATCACAATGCCAAGGTGTTTGTGAGAAGACACTATGTCAATTGGATTTGGAAAGTTGGCATAGATGAGGGTTGTGAACTCTGGCTGGGACGGGAACAGCATGATCTTTGTTTTTGATAGATTTAGGTACAATCTCCAGGACGACATCCAGGAAAGAACTTCCTGAATGACAGCACGCAAGTTGTTTTTCAGGCCAGTGAGAGAAGCTGATGAGGTGAGAAGGGTCGTGTCGTCAGCAAACAGAGACGTTCCAGGGAAGACTGCAGGTAAATCGTTTACGTAAATTATAAATAGTAGGGGACCAAGAATTGATCCTTGAGGAACGCCTGACAATACTGGCTCTGCAGCCGAGGATGTGCCAAGCACAGTTACGTACTGATAACGCCCAGAGAGATAATATTTCAGCCAGGAGAGTGGTTGTTTACGTACCCTGAATGCATGCTCGAGCTTGGCCAAAAGTCTTCGATGCCAGACGGTATCAAACGCCTTGGCCAAGTCAAAGAAGCAAATACCAGCAAGCGCTCTGTTATCCCTATGCTGGCACACCTGCTGCACGGTGCGGGTCAGTTGAAGGGAGGTGGAGTCGCCTTTAC